TGAAATGCATGTTGCTGAGAATCCCATTAGTGCGGTAACCTGGCAATGTCGCTAAACTTCAGGCTAGTTTACACTCGTTCTTCCACTTGGTGGAAACTTTATTATCACGCTAAAACTGCGGGCTTTGTCTAAAAAAAAAGGACCAAAGAACTCAAATGTCTACAGTGGATAACACCGAGAGTGTACAGGATAAATTTTAGAAACACGACATTTTACCGAAACCTTGCAACGTTTAGGTACTTTATATGAAGATCGAGAAATAATTATGATTACGAAATGCTAGGGGTGTCTTTTTGTCGTAGTTAGTATGGTTTATGTCTCGATGTATTATTTTCAGCGGATTTGGCACATTCAGGTGTTTTCCAAACGCTTTGGTTTCGGATTTGCCTCTCGCTTTGTCCTTAGAAACCCAGAAACATTAATTCGGTGTGGCCTTATTCCATTATGTATACAGCTATCACAACAATAATACAAGCAGAAGGAACAGGGTAAAACAATACATTGTCAGTAACTCTTGGGAAAACGTAATACCTTGACGAGTTACATATGCAAAGAAACATCTACGACAGAGCAAAAGCGACATCTAGCAATTCACCATCGAAGTACACATAGAAGTAAAGAAAAATAAGAGGGCTTCTATATTATTCAACTTCAATTTATTTTACTCGTTCGGGGTCGGCCCTAGCCTCTACCAGGCTTCGGGACACGGGTGGAGGAACGGAGCCGTACCCCGGGGTGCTTCTAGCCTCTACCAGGCTTCGGGACACGGGTGGAGGAACGGAGCCGTACCCCGGGGTGCTCCTAGCCTCTAGCAGGCTTCGGGACACGGGTGGAGGAACGCAGCCGTACCCCGGGGTGGGCCCTAGCCTCTACCAGGCTTTGAAAGGTGACTGAAAAAAAGTAGAAATTGGGCAAATACAGAGATGACAAGCCAGAGGAGTACAGTGTGTGGCAAACGGACCAACTTCCCTGGCATATTAGATTTATTTATCCGATATCTACTGTTTCCAGCAGGGGTTAATGGACTTCTCTTGGGACCAGAACCGTTCAGACTTCTTATTTTTTTCTCGTAAACACAACTACCCAAACCTAGTGTGGCTAGGGCGAGCGGACACCTGAGATTCATACTTGCCCTTTCAGAAAGCGCTTTGAGCCTTTGCACTCGGCTTTTTCCACTCCACCCAGGTGTAAAACGGTACCAGGCTTCGGTTGGGGGGATAAAAGATTGTCAGCCACCTGCCCTTACCATCTGAAAAACCTTTTACCTTTTCACAGTGCACTTTTGTGTACCTCGGTTGTATTTATGTCCTTTTTTTAACGTTAATGCTATAGCGGCTGCACCTGTTCACTTCCTACGTACGTCGCGTTCCAGGGTTTAGTGGAAGCCATGACGTAAATCTGCCATGTTTAGGAGCGTGTGTGACGTCACGCCTGGGTATATTGACATAGGAAGAATTGAGGTTAGTAAATGGTACTCTCCAAACAGAGGTTCATTTGGCTCATTATGGCTTCACCACAAAGTGGTGAAGACATATTGTGTTCCCTCATGTTTCTTCTTCTTCTTCTTCTCCTGCCATTTCTTTAAATGGATTCATCTCTGCCATTTTCCGGCCAAATAACACGAAATTTGGCATGAAGGTAGAGTGGGCAAATACCCCGACGCGTTTTTTTTTCATTTTTTTGAAAAATTGTTTTATTTGGGTTTTTTGGCCATTTTCAGGCAAAAAATATACATTTTGAGATCTGGTTCCCAGGTACTAAAACCAAATGACCTGAAATTTGGTATGGGGATACCTTGGACATATGTGTCCAAAAAATCATTCAAGCTTTTGACATACACCACTTTAAAATTGGGTAAAATAGGGCTTTTTTGCTATTTTCGGACCAAAAATGTACATTTTTGGCTCCTATGCCCTAATATTAAATCTGAATAACTTGAAATTTGGTATGGGAATACCTTGGACACATGTCCAAAGAATGGCATTCACGATTTTGACATACACCACTTTAAAGTTATGTAAAATAGGGCTTTTTGGCTATTTCCGGCATTGGAAGGTTCCATTTCTGCATGGGGGTGTAGACTATTGGCAGCCATCGTAGGATAGATCCATTTTCGGTATGGGGGATAGGGTGAAGCCATCTGCTGCATTTGCTCTCAAGCAAATGTCGGCCTTTCTAGTTTTTGTTGTGTTTTTCAGCTTTTTTTAGTGTTTTCTTTTTTTGTAATGGCATCTTGTTGGGCTGGTACAAAAAAGATACCAATACAAAACAAGTCTAAAAACATGCCAAAAATAAGCCAAAACCACTGTTTGGAGAGTAAGTGACTGAACCATGCTGGTTGAGGGCTAAGTTGAACCATGTCAGCCGCCTCCCCCATTGCTGCCCCCTCGCCCTTACCACCCCCTAAATTATGTCTGAGGGTTGTTGCATACATGTTGTATGAAGTCTTTCAAAACGTACTGCTACTGTGAGAAACCCGTGTGCAAAGCACTTCGACAGAACGTCTAACTTAAGGTCGTATTTACGGATGACATCCTGTCTATAGTTTTTGAAAAGATATTGTCAGTAATGGGCAAATTTCAGCGAAAAGTAAAAAAAAATCTGGGTTTCGCACAGGCACAGTGCATTCTGCCAGCGGTCTCTTGTATGTGGTATGTTCAGGCCGTGCCAATTTAATTCCTTGTTTGTGGACGTTTGTACAAAATTAAAAGTCACACTCACTCACTCACTCACTCACTCTCACTCACTCACTCACTCACTCACTCACACTCACTCACTCAGCTCCGCATGCCCCTTTTTCAGATCAGAAAAAAATCATGCAGGTTCGAAAAACCAAGAACATGAGTAGGTGTTGTCTCAGTGTACAAATGTACAAAAAAAAAACCACATTCGTGAGAGGATTGAAACACCAGCAGTGCAGAATTTATTTTCACCCATCACCAAAGTCTTACGTCCTTCATATAGAAGACATTACATTATATGTTTATAGCAGTTTACTCTGCAATCCGGGACCTTGGAAAAAATGTAGTGTTTCCGGGTTCCAGACCAACCCTAGAGTTTTTTGGGTTGATTGCTGACAAGGGACATAAAATTTTCTTTCTGCATTTCAAATCGTCTAAAATGCTATTTCACGCATTTTCCAAACCATTTTTACCGAATATATGGAGTGGACAGGAACTGGAGACAGCCCTGATCATGATGTATTTCAGCTTGACTTTGTTAGTTTAACTTCAGCCAGAATCTAAAATGAAAAAAAAAGGATTCCTACCAACCGACCCTAAGTGTTTTAGGACATGAAATGGAAACATCACATTTTTCCCCTAGGCCTCATCACTAATGGTTTGTACACCTAATTGTGTTCCATGATTATAGATCTAGTCTCTCTGTTGTTCACGTACGTGTACAACAGCACTACAATGGGACACAAAACTGCCAAACATTGGCCAAGATAAGAGACAAGTTTTAAAATAATGATTAAAAAATTATTCTTCAAGCATGATGTTATTCCTTGTCAATTTGCCCTTGACTACAATATTACTGTTATTGAACTGCCGTACAGAAAATCACCTTTCAGTAAATATTCACTATTAAACTTTTCTCAAACACATTTCCTTTCTGGAAGAAAAATATTCCGCTCAGAAGGAAATAAATGATATTATCACTCAGCTATTGTATAAAATACAAACATAAGCAACTTCTTCTTCTGGGTAACTATGGTAACAATACCCCAAAATAATTTCATCAGGTTGGTAAACGAACGGATAGTAAAGTTCTTTGATCAGAACCATTCATTTTTCACGAGCCGACGTTTCGATGACCGTCTGTCATCTTCATCAGGGCAATTCTGACTGGTTTACTGTGCACTGATGCTAGATGTTACTTGGTGCATAGTACACTAAAGGTGTTACATGGTTCACAGTGCACTTAAGCTAGTTTTTACTGTTAACAATGCATTTCCGAACGCAGTGCATACATTGTGGCATACATTAAAGGTCATAGGAACGTCGGCTCGTGAAAAATAAATGATCAAAGAACTTTGCTATTTATGGTAACAATAGTTCTCAGGGACTACTGAATTCTACAGAAGACTATATAGTTTACATATTGACTGAGGCTACATACTTGTACAGTCTTGTATACTAACTTTAGCTTTAAACAATGTCTAGAGCTAGAAGTTCAAGGGTTAGGTGTAACAAGTCGATCGGTGTAATATAGCCAGCTGCCGCCGCGCCGCGTGCCTGCGAAGCTGGTGTGTTACGCCGAAAGGCGGTTATACCGGCTATACAGATACAGATACTAAGGAACCCATGACTACAGAACTACTAGTACAGTTGTACAAGTATGTTACTGAAATTCTGCAACAAAAGAGACACCACATAAAGAGCATTATTTTAAAATGTTAAAGCAGAAGCACCCAGCATCAAAATAAGCAAAAGTACTTTTTTTTAAACTCAGTTGCTACATATTTCAGATATCGTCACTTGTATCCAAAACTCATATTGGACAGTTTGCTCCATAACAACTATATCTGAATACTTCTCCAGTTATCTGAACAAAGACGTCTGCCTCACTGCTACATTCAAATTGACTTATTCTGGTGTAAGTTTGTAACAGACAAAGCCGCTACAATAGAGAGCGTTACTTGTCAGCGTTACAGACATGTAGGATTGATGGTTTTGTGGATAACTGGGTGTGATCAGATTTAGTGGAGCAGAAGCGATTATCGTGGCCTGATTTTCATCGACACAGACTTCAGGGAGTATTTAACGTCTCTCCTCCCCCACCGGGTGGAATGTTTGCCTCCCCGGTCGTACCACAGCACACCTTGCATGTGTGAACAGGATCTCCCACAGTAGCGGCCGTTGAGGTTGGAGAAGCTGCAGGTCCCAAACCACCAGCCGGCCTGTGCGCGCCGCTGAGAACAGTGGGCAATGGTGGCGTCATTGTCCCTGTCCACAGTGGAGAACTTCATCCCGTTGTTGGGATGGCTGTATGGAGTCATGGCGTCTCCCGCGTCGCCTGAATACACGTAAACGGTCAGCCGGTACTGGTCTGACTCACCGGCCACCCTGGATGGGAACAGCAAATCACACAATATTAGTTATGGGTTTAGAATTTTCTTCTTACACAACCAGTAAGGTTCTCACCTGCTTACGTTTCGATGTCTATCAGACACCTTCCTCAGAGCTTCTGACTGGAGTTCTGCAACTCGCCGCTATTTAACGCCAAAGTAGGTGGCGCTTTTGCGGCGAGAATGCAATCCCAAACGTGGCTGAGCTTGTATCCCCCCTCGTCCCGGTTCATCACTGGGGTAGACTTCCTTATCCAGACTGCTTCTTTAATTCAACGGATTCTTCTGTTGTCCTCCCTATCTATGACCCTGGCTCCCTCCCAGTCTATCACACAATTGTTTCTGGCAACATGGTCTGTGACTGCCAACAACAAAATCTCAAATCTTAAGGAAAAACAGCAAAACTTATCGGAAGAACTAAGTGCGCAGTTACCGGAAAATTACCAGGAAGCCGTGCGTTCGCATGTAATCAGATCCGGGGAACGAGAGTTCCAAGTGACGCGGGACCGCCATCTTGAAAAGTTTGACCGACTCAAACAAGCCAATTCACGACAGCAACAGGATTTAGACGTGGATTTATCCGGCACACAGCTGAAGAAATGGGTAGTGAACATCTCCAAGAAGTCGCTAACCGACCACCAGACCGGGGTACTGCAGAAGGGCCTGAACTTCGCCGTCACGCCAGACAAGGTTCCGGTGGAAGACTTCGTGGTGGCTACGGAAAGTGCGTGCCTGCACTTGTCCCCAAGCAGCGCGGAGCAGTTACGGTCGGAGGTGGCAGGCATCCTGAGAACAGCGAAACCCCCGAAACCCAACATCACAAAACAAGAAAGAGAAGCCCTCAAAGAACTGAAGAAGGAAAAGGACTTGCTAATTCTCCCGGCGGACAAAGGGAAGGCAGCGGTGGTCATGGACAGAACAGACTATGAAGAAAAGGTGAGTGGGATGTTAGCGGACGAGAAAACATATGAAAAACTACGTTCGGACCCAACACAGAAATACAAGAGAAAGCTAGTTGCCATTTTAAAACGTCTCAAGGAAAGTAGTAAGATCACAGAAGAACAGTATAAACATTTATATCCTACAGCGGAAAACGTACCGAGAATGTACTGTACTCCCAAAATACACAAACCTGGAAATCCGTTGCGGCCGATAGTTGATTATACAGGTTCGATAGGGTACAATACGTCCAGGGCCTTGGCAGATCTGTTAGCACCTTTGGTGGGGAAGTCTACACACCATATTAAGAACTCAAAGCACTTAGCAGAAGAAATGTCCACTATATTAGTAGAGGAAGATGAGATGTTCTTGTCCCATGACGTTGTCTCCCTTTTTACTAATACCCCCATCCCAGAGACACTTGACATCATCAGAAGAAGACTCCAGGGGGATAAAGAGTTGAAGAACCGGACGAACCTAGAGGTTGAGGACATCATAGAACTTTTATCCTTTATTGTCACAACCACTTATTTCAGTTTCCGGGGGGATATCTACCAGCAGAAATTTGGGACAGCTATGGGTAGCCCGGTGTCCCCAGTGTTGGCCAACCTGTTTATGGAGTGGCTGGAACAGGAAGCCATAGCGACAGCGCCCATTTCCTGTAGACCCAAGCTCTGGAAGAGATATGTGGACGACGTTATGGAGATAGTGAAGAAGGGCGTCCATCAAGATCTCACAGACCATCTTAACAACATAGATCCCACAGGAAGTATTCAGTTCACACATGAGGAGGAGAAAGACAACACATTACCGTTCCTGGATACTCTCCTGGTACGAAAGGGGGATGGCACAGTAAAGCTTCTAGTGTACAGAAAAAGTACACATACAGACCAGTATCTCAACTTCAAGTCCCACCATCCACTGCACCAGAAACTGGGAGTCATCCGCACCCTTATGGACAGATGTAACTCAGTGGTGACAGAGGAGGAGGACAAGGAAAGAGAAACACAGCACATCAGAAGAGCCCTTGTCCGATGTGGGTACCCAGAATGGACCTTTCGGAAGGTGGAACGGAAAGAGAAGAGGTCAAAGCAGACAGAGAAGAACAAGAAAGAGGGGGAGAAATCTAGGGCCATGGTGATTATCCCATATGTGAAAGGAGTAACCGAACCACTAGAAAGGGTATTCAGGAAACACCAGGTATCCACAGCAGTAAAACCAAAAACAACATTGAGGAACCTGCTTGTCCACCCCAAGGACAAGATGGGGGACCACGTGAAAACAGATTGCGTGTATAAAATACCATGCAAAAGCTGTGATCAAGTGTATATTGGAGAAACTGGCAGGACCTTTGGCAAAAGACTGGAAGAACACAGAAAAGAGGCAGACAACAGCGAAACCGTAAGATATACACGCTCCCAGAAACAACAAGCACAAAAAGAAGAGAAGAAATCGGCAGTCACAGACCATGTTGCCAGAAACAATTGTGTGATAGACTGGGAGGGAGCCAGGGTCATAGATAGGGAGGACAACAGAAGAATCCGTTGGATTAAAGAAGCAGTCTGGATAAGGAAGTCTACCCCAGTGATGAACCGGGACGAGGGGGGATACAAGCTCAGCCACGTTTGGGATTGCATTCTCGCCGCAAAAGCGCCACCTACTTTGGCGTTAAATAGCGGCGAGTTGCAGAACTCCAGTCAGAAGCTCTGAGGAAGGTGTCTGATAGACATCGAAACGTAAGCAGGTGAGAACCTTACTGGTTGTGTAAGAAGAAAATTCTATACCCTAAGTATCTTCCAACCTGATGAAATTATTTACGGAAATATTAGTTATGAACTACAATCTGCATTGATTCTGATTCTGGCCTGTTTGTAAAGCAAACTAGAGTACAGAGATCTTATACCTCCATGTAGAGCTTAGAGCTTGTTATTTTTTGCTGTGTTTTTTGTCTTATTAATGACGGAGATGTTGTTATTAGCATTATTAAGGTCTTCTATCAAATATGATAAATCATGTATATAGTGTATAAATGAATAAATGTATGTGTAAAAGTCCTATCCTTTGGCAGGATGCCTCTTTAACACTTTATTAGTAATTATGCAAATAACCTCAATATTTACATAATCTAATGCCTAACAAGAGTTCCACGATCTCATACCTTCGCCAAATGATGTTAACCCTTACGATTATACAATTTTAATCATTGATTTTGTAAATAAGAGCCTCATTTGCATGGATTATATCAGTTGATCATATTCTCCACCCAATGACAGCCTTATTTTAACAAAAAGGCTATTATAGCTCTTCCTCATAAATTATGCAGATGAGGTCATGATTTGAATAAATTATGTTTATTGATGTTCACCTTCACTTAACTTCCAAATGTGGCAAGTATGAAATTCCTAGCAGTTACAAGACTTAATCTGAAATTATAAAAATTTGCCATTAATTATGCAAATTAGGTCCTCATTTACATAATCTATATCCTCAGATGTTTTTTCTCGTTCTCAAGTAGATGTCACAAGTGTTTAATAGTTCTATTATCGAACAAAGTAGATTTATAGAATGTCCTCATTAATTATGCAAATTAGCTCCTGATTTGCATAATTGTCATCTGATTATGTCAAGCATCACTTCAACTACCTACATACCAAAAATCACGAGAATCCGTCAACCGGTTCTTGAGTTATCCTCCTTCGAAAATTTTTCAACAAATGCGCCTGCAGTTCCAGAACAAGCAGCTAGGGGACCCAAACTCATGTCACTTCTTCCCTATCTCAAAAGCTATCTGCCATCCAAAATTCGTGACCCTAGCATGTCCAGATCACGAGATATCAAAACCGGAAGTTCTGCTGCAGTACCTAGGAAAGCCGCCAGGGGGCCCAAAATCTAATCATTTCTAGGTCTCATAAAGACCTACCCACCTACCAAGTTTCATTCCAATCCATACACTGCTTCTTGAGTTATCTTGCTAAACCACACACACACACACACACACACACACACACACACAGACAAACGCTACTGAAAACATAACCTTCTTGGCGAAGGTAATGATGGTCATCTTTAACTAACTTAGACATGACTTACAGTAGCAGAGTTTTTAGGATTGTCCTTTTTTTTCCTGTGTGTTTTACGTATTTCCAAGGGACTTTGTAACAATGATGTTTTCATAGATAAATTTCTAATTGGAAGGAGGAGTACCAACCTAAACGTATCGTATTCGGCGTAGTATGTCGTCTCATCCCAGTACATCATGTCAATCCGCAGTCTATAGTCCTTCTGAGTAGTCAGGAGGTGGATGTTCTCGTTCCCAAGCCAGTATTCCCCGTTCTTGTTCCCAAACCCGTGCTTGTACTCCTCCCAGGTCCGGTTGAAAGGAACTGACCCGTCCATTCTGCGCTGGATGATAGTCCAATTTCCTCCTGTAGAAAAACACACATCGTTACTTTCTAGACTATGTCACTATGAAAGTAGTTTTTCCATAATGACAGTACAGAAGGTCTTCGACCGACTCGATGTGATTTTGCCCATTAAATAGCGGTGTGATCAATAACAAGAGGGTCGACTTGTGCATTCCTACGTTATAGACTAAGTATTACCGTTGCGCCAAAAACAGTTACTCAAGTAACTGGATATGATTTTGGAAACGGTCAGACGTTTCATCTAGTATCCACGGACTTGGGACTTCTAAAAAATTGCCTTCACTTATTTGCATAGCAATCAGAAGTTCGTGCTTATAAACCTGCATTTCTCCTCTGGTCTCTCAGTCACTGACGAAAGGTAGTGGATACTAGCTGAAACGTCTGACAGTTTCCAAAATCATATCCAGTTACTTGAGTAACTGCTTTTTGGCGTATCTTATTACCTAGATGTCCAACCTTCATCGACGTATTAGCGTTGCGTTTGCAAGTTTGGCCGAGTTAGGCAGGGGAGTTAGACCTCCTTGGTTAGACCAGTTTATATATACAAAATTTGTTAGAGTGTCGGATACTGTGACAAGT